GAACAACAAATGGCCACAAGACCAGTCAAGAGAAGAAACAAAGCAAAGCTGAGGGTGGATCTCAAGATCTCGTCACAGTTCGAGCACAAGCAATCGGCCACAAGGCCAGTTCACATGCAATGTTATAACAGCAATAGCCGTACAAAGATCACAACTTAGCAGGTGTAAACATGCAGGTATAAATGTATAGTAGCGAACAATAAGTACAAGGCGAGATCAAGAGATAAGTAAGTGAGGCAGAGTAGGCACAAGGCCAAGCGCAATACAGAAATGCTGATGATCGCCAGACCCAAGGGCCTTGGTGAAGATATCAGCAGTGTTGGCCTCTGAGGCCACGTAAGCAAGGCGAAGCTGACCACGCTGCCGTGACTCTTGTACAAGAAAGTAACGAAGAGCAATGTGCTTCGTTCTGTGCTCCAGTCTCTGCTCCCAACACAAGCCAATCATGGCCTTGTTGTCGACGTACAGAACTGGAGGAGAATCTCGCCGCTCAGCCAGCGTAACTCCTACGCAACCATAGCCCCAGCGTGGATTTCGACCTCACAGCTGGAGCTAAGCACGGAAGACGAGCAAGTGGACATCCACGAGACAGAGCCAGTGCCGAGACTGAAAATGTAGCCCTGTGAAGACCTGTGGGTCGCCTGGTCATCGGCCCACGAAGCGTCTGAGTTCCCAGTGAGCACAACTCGGCCCCGTCCCTCAAACACAAGCCCCATGCCTGATGTACTGCACAAGTAGCGCAATACCTTTGTAGCACCCCGGTAGTGCTCAGGGCGGTGTCTCCTGGGCGCAACGTAGCACGCAAGGATGCTGAGAGGGTACTCGAGGTCAGGCCGAGTGCACGTCAATAGGTACACGAGGCAACCCACAAGCTCTGGATACGGAGCACTCGGCTCTACGGACTCGTCCGAAAGTGGAGCTGAGAGCGAGTGGCCCGTAGGCAAAGGGGTGGACTGTGGCGTGGAGAACTGAAAGCGGAAGTGCTGAAGGACCTGCTGCACCATGCGTAACTGAGTCAGGGTGATGGTGCATGCTGCTCTGTCCCAGGTGATCTGCAAGCAAAGATAGCTCTACAGCTAAATTAGGTCAGTGTAGGTGTGTCTCTTCTACAGCTCCGCCTGCATAAGGGCCAGCGCCTCAGTATCAGCAGTTACAAAGACCGAGTCGTCGACGTACACGAGGATGTAGACCGGCGGCAGAGTAGAGTCGGTGCGAAGAAACAGCGACGGGTCGGCAGTCGAAGGAGCGAAGCCAAGAGCCGCAGGTGTCGCCTTCAGTATGTGCCACTCGCGGGACGCCTGACGGAGACCGTAGACCGGCCGCCGGAGGCTCCACTGGGTACCCTCAGGAACCAACCTGAAGCCAGGTGGGCGGCGCAGCCAGTTCTCCTCGTGAAGGCTGCCCTGCAAGAAAGCTGTGGAGAAGTCGAGCGAGTACAGCTCGTAGTCACAATGTGCTACAATGTGCAGTAACACCCAAAGAATAGTCCCTTGACGTTGACTGAAGCCTCGTGCAACGTAATACGCCTTGAAGATCCACATGCCATCAACTATGTTCGCCACAGGAGGGGGAACTGCGTCGACGTAGGTGCCTGTGGAGTTCCAGGATGCCATCTCTGCGTCCATGGCGGTTTGCCAATGAGATGAGTACTGACCCGTGATCGCCTCTGCGTAAGAGCGTGGGGTCGGGATGTCCAGTGCATCCGGGTCTCCCTCAGAGGCAAGCAGCATGGCAGCGAGATGAGGTACAGCAGCCGCGAGGCACTCCAGCTCAATCTGTCTGTCCTCAAGGACGTCACAGCCAAGGGCGAGCTCACCCCCGATGGACGGAGGACAGGCACAGTCAGAAACGAGACTCGCGAGGTAGTCAAGGGGGCAGGTAGCAGCAAAGTCAACAAGCTCAGTGACTAATGCAGTCGCAGCAGCAGACAAAAAATTAGGGTCCGTCACAAGTGTGGCGAGACAACGAGTTACACTGGGACTAGCAGCACGAGCAAGGTCAGATACAGGGTCAGGAACGTCAGGAAGGGAGGACGAGGGAGGTAACGGCAGTGCAAGACGATGTGGAACAGAGGAAGGACCAAGTGTCTTGGTGTGAGTGCCGGGGATAGGTAGAGGTCGAACATGGCGAGCACGAGGAGTATTAGCAACATGTAATTGAGTCTGAGACAGGTCAGTCGGTGGACACAGTAGAGGAGGAGTAGTACCAGCGGCAGATGGCTCTGTAGAGGCAGACAGAAGATGGCGAAGCTGGTGAAGCGCCGAGCCAGGTGGTGGAAGCGACGACTGCGGCTGCTCCCAAAACAACGGTCGCTGGTGCAGCGGCGGCGCAGCACCCCCAGGACTAGCTCCTCCATAGTACCAATAACACCTCCAGCTCCAGCACGACCAACACCCTAAGTGGCTGCACCTCAAGCGTCGGGACCTCCAGCTCAAAAACCTCCAAGTCACCAGAACCTCTAGCACCAGAACCTCCAGCTCCTCTAGCTCCAGTACCTCGAGCACCAGAACCTCCAGCTCCTGCAACTCCAGCACCTCCAGCACCACAACCTCCAGCACCTCCAGCTCCAGTACCTCCAGCACTAGAACCTCTAGCACCTCCAGCTCCAGCACCTCCAGCTCCAGCACCTCCAGCAACTCCAGCTCGAGTACCTCCAGCATCTCCAGCTCCAGTACTTCCAGCTCCATCACCCCCAAAACCTCCAGCAACGGACCCCGGAAGTGGCAACGACGACTACTACTGCTCCCAAAACAAGGGCCGTCGCAGCAGAGGGTGCAACGCACCCACAGAGCCTCCAGCAGTCGTACCTTCGACTCCACCGCCACTAGGACGCTCAGCACCCCCTGAGATAGCACCCCCAGAGTCAGCAACCCCAGAACCAGCACCCCCATAGCCCGCACCTCCAAGCTCACCACCCCCAGGACCAGCACCCCCAGAGCCCGCACCTCCAGCGTCACCACCCCCAACAGCACCTGAGTCCACAGCGACAAGCTGCAGAGGCGGTGAAGACGGCTGAGGCGGAAAACTAGGAGGAGTCTCCAAGCGCGGTGAGCGGCGAGAGGCCGTTGTATCGTCAGCAGCAGGGTTACTCCCTCAGCCGGGCTAGAGGGGTCTAAGAAGACCTCCAAAGGCTCAACTAAGGGGGTTGGTGTGACATGAGACACACCTGAGGGAGCAGGGCGCGAGGGGGTCTACCGGGGGGTAACATGGAACCAGGAAGAGAGGCGGGAGGGGGGGGGGGGGGGGGGGACGGGGGAACTGCGGTGGGGGAAGAGACGGTAGTAGCAAACTGACTCATCAAGGGTGACGTTGAGAGAGGATAGGATACGGCGCGTGGCTGGGTGGTAAAACTGCCAGTGCGGGGCGTCAGTAGGAACGCCGAGGAAGACGCAGCGAAGAGTGCGAGGAGAGAGCCTGCCCGTGGTAGGATCGCGGACAAGGGCAAGCGATCGCCAGACCCAAAACGGCAACGCATCGCCAACCTCCCCCGTCTAAAGCAGGGTAGGCGAGGTGTCTGGCTCGGGGCTAGAGGTTAAGCTGATGCACGGCGTATCGGACCACAAACGGCCACAGAAAACGGGGAGCAGAGCAACCTCCATGATCTAGCCAATGCGATGCTCAACGATCCCATTCTGCTGTGGAGAGGCCTGAAGCGTGAACGACTGGGTGATGTCCTCCTCACGACAAAAGTCCTCAAGGAGACCGGAGGCAAACTCGCCACCACGGTCAGAGTGCAGACGGAGCACCAAGAGGTCCTGGCGGAATCGTGCGCTGAGCTGGCAACGAACAGCGCGGATCCAACGGATCAAAACAATCCAGACGTCTCCCTTATGCTCTAAGGGAAACATCGTGGTGTAGCGCGTGAAGTCGTCAACTACCAGCAGGAAGTAGTGCCCCCGGCGCGACCGAGAGACGGGGGTGGGGTCCCATACGTCCATGTGCAGTGTCTGCAGAGGAGCAGTGGTCAGAGGGAAAGAGGAGTGAGGAGTGAGCGGCGGTGCAAGCGACGGCAGGAGCGGGGGCAAGGACCGCAGGAGGCTAGAGACAAGGAGACTCGAGTGCATGCAACGCAGACGCTTCAGGGAGGGGTGACCAAGACGGTGGTGCCAGAGGAGGGACGAGTGGGTGAGTAACCGACAAGAGCAAGGCGCGGCTACCTAGCTTGACGCAACCACCTGAACAGACTCAGTGTGCAGTGTGTACAGTCCAGACCCGGGCCTACGTGTGAACGTGGCAAGGTGGTCTCCAGTCTCTTTGTCCTTACAGATCGTCACGCGCTTGCCCCCAGGAGTGGTGGTGGTGACCATCATATCCTGGAGGTGAGCAGTACTCACCAAGTTCGTAGCGAATGAGGGGAGGTGGAGACCTGTGAGGCAGCCAGATTAGGCTGCCGGACACGGGAGAACAGTAGAGCCGCGTGCAACGACCGCGCCAGCAGCATACATAGCATACATGCCAGCAAAGATCTGGTCCCAATCAAGAGAGAGAGAAGGCCCTTTGAATACCGTGTCAACGTAGGTCTACGAGGTTTTGGAGCTCGGGGAAGTTACGAGTGCAAAGAGGGATATTCAAAATAAGAGGGGGAAGAAATACAAGCAAGGAAAGGGTGCAGCACCAATAGGTGTAACAGTAATAACGTCACTAGGCTACGCAGAAATCTGTTTATATATATAAATAACATACCATATATCCATATCCTCCTTCAAAATCCTTGGTAGTGATCGAATCTGCTGTACCTAATTTTTGTGAGGTACTTGGATATGCGTACATCCTAGTTGATAGCATATTCCAGCTCATTCTTTCTGGTGAGCGCAACTGCAAACGAGGAGATTTGCGCCTATTGTGCAATTTGATATCGTGCTATTGGTTGCGATGCGACGAAGCCAAACCTTCAAGCTCAGCTAATTGTGAAACCGGTGTTTGCAAGAGTCGATCCCAGCGCGCTAATTGGGTCATCGTACCCACTTTTGGTTCTTTCACTCGCTGTGCTGCAATCCGCGATGGCTGGCCTTTTGCGGCCACACGGTGCTTGCGTTCCGCTTTTCCTTCCCCGGTACCCCACCCCCACCTTGAGAGATTCTGTCATCGTTCAGGTAGCCACTCGAGTGACACGTGTCGTTCATCGAGCAGCTCGGATCGACGGTGCAAAAGGTCCCGAAGGCAGCAGCGAAGTAGGGGGCAACCGGACACAGCAAGTAGCCGGCTCAAGCGCAGGTGGGAAGAAACCTAGAATTGGTGACGCGGGATTGGCGGACAGAGGAGGCAGGGATGCAGCAGCCGCAGCAGCATCATCCGCAGCTGACAGCGGAGAAGCAGCGCGCCGAGCAGAGTCGTTGCGAGAGGGTGGGGTTTCAGGACTGGCTCAACCAGTCGAAGAGCAGAGCAGATCGGGAGATCGAGGAGGTAGCTACTAACAGCTCACCAGCACTGCCGCTGCATGCCCACGCATCCCTTTTCTCCTTCCTTTCGTCGTCCTCACCGCACCCTCGTTGCCACTCTCCTCGTTCTTCTCCCTTCCCACTCCCAACAGCATCTGAACGGGCGGAGCGAGGCAGCACAACTGCGAGAGGCAAATCCCCTTCGAAAACTCCCGATGAACCACCAGAAAAGCCGCTCACCAGCAGTGGTGGCGCCGGAAATGCTCGCGGGAGCACAGGCGGCGGCGACGCCGGGCGCGAGGGCAGGGGGAAGAAGGGCAAGGCGCGGATCGACCCGGTGGGGATAGTGGCGAGCGACCCGTCGCTGAAGGCGTTTGAGGGCGACCTGCGTGCGCGGTACAAGCGACTCAAGGACCTGCGCCAGCTCATCGAGCAGGAGGACGAGGACCTGCTCGAACTCGCCAACGCGTGCGTCAACAACTCTGGCGCGCACCTGGAACTGCTTAAAAGCTGCTTTGCCGCCTACTGCTTTGCCGTCAATGTTCTTGAGCTCTCTCCCTGTGACCGCCTCATCCCGCTCGCCTTTTTTTCCCGCCTCCCTTACCTGCTACTGCATGTTGACTCGAATGTGTCTCTTGCTGTGTCCTGTTCTGCCACCTGTTGGCTGCCGCTGAACCCCGTCTCCCCTGGTGGGTGCAGGCACAAGATGATGGGGCTGCACCGCCATCCGTGGCACTGCATCGAGCTCTATGAATGGGCGCCAGGTGTCATGCCATGCCATTTCATGCCATGCCACCAAGCCATGTGTCATTGTCACCACACTATGCTATGTCATGCCATGTCATGGCATGTCATGGCATCATGGTGCACAGGAAAATTTAGTGCCACTTCTCTCAGGCCTCATCACCCTATGCGCCCTTGTTCTACTAAACCCACAATGGTGCCTGAACCCTAAACCCTTAAACCTCTAACCCCCGTCATACCACTGTTTCCCCTCAAGCCCATCAACCCCTCCCCTTCACCCACTCTGCTCCATCTCTTCCCCACCCGCACAACAGGCGCAACCGGCTGTGCGCTGGTAGGCACATTCAACGACTGGGACGGCACAGAAGCTGTGTCAGAGAGAGGCCCGGCAGGGTGCGACGAGCTGGGCGTGCACCGCGTGGTGCTGCAGGACCGCCTGCGCGCAGGGCAGCAGGCAGACCCGTTCGGGCAGGAGTATAACTATGATGTGGAGACGGATAGTGGCGATAGGGACTTGGACTGGGAGGGGCTGTATAGGGCTGCTCAGGAAGGTTACTGGGAGGAGGGCGAGGACCATCTGATGCATGAGTATGTGGACCCGGATTTGGAGGAGGAGGAGGCGGAGGCGGAGTGGGGTGGAGGGAGTGTGGTTGAGGGAGAGGATGGGGGATTGGAGGAGGGGGAGGAAGGGGGGTTGAGAGGGGGGTTGGGTGGTGGTGGTGGTGGCGGTGGTGGGGGGGAGGGGGGAGGGGAACGGAGTAAGCAGCATGTGCAGGGCAAGGAATGGGTTGAGAAGGCGAGGGAGACAGGGGCGTACAAGGGGTGGGTGAACGGGCCGATGCACTTGACTGAAGCACAACAGCGGGAGGAGGAGCAGGAAGACGGGCAGACAGAGGGGCAAGCAGCACAGAAACCCGCACGCAGGCAGCAGGCAAAGGCATCCGGCGCAGGCAGCAGCAAATCCGGCAACTCAAGCAAGCTGCCGCCCATAGCAGTGCCGTACACAGGCAGTGAGGGCGCGGGAGTGGGCGACTGGCAGCTGCTTAAAGACCCCGCATGGGCAGCGTACGTGGAGAACAAGCAGCTGCCGTACCCGTACTGGCTGGCGGAGAGGAAGGGGCGGAAGGCGTGGGCGAGGAAGTATGAGGTGGCGGTGAGGCATGGCGACCGGTGGAGGGTGCAGCTGAGCACGGCTCAGGGGTTGCTGCAGCGCGTTTCCGCGTGGGCCACGTTTGTCGCTCCAGGTGGGTGGGGGATGGATGTGAGGGGTGTTGTGGGTGGGTGGTTTGTGGCGTGTGTCTGTGTGGGTGGGTGGGGTGAGGTTAGAGTGAGGGGTCTGTGGTGTGTGTGTGGCTGCAGGTGTGATGCCGCTGGGTACTGTGCTCATCCGTTGGATCACCGCATGTGTGATGTCCCAATTGCTTGCTTGGTTCAGAATCCAGAAGGGTGTTTCTTGTGCATGATACCCATTGCATCATGTGCCTCCAACGCCGTGCAGAGGACAGGGAGGGGCGGAGGTGGAGTGGGGTGGTGTGGGACCCGCCTCTGGGCGAGCGGCACAAGTGGCAGCACACAGCGCCCCCTCGCCCCCGCACCCTGCGCGTGTACGAGGCACACGTGGGGAGCAGCGGGGGGAAGGCGGGGAGAGTGCGCAGTGCAGGCGAGGAGGAGAGGGGCGTGTTGAGAGGGGAGGGGGAAGGGGAGGAGGGCAGGGTGGAAGGAGGCGAGGGGGAGCGGGTGGAGTGGCGTGGAGGTAGTCGGGAGGTGACGAGCTTCGATGAGTTCACTGATGCGGTGAGCCTCAGGGGTGCACTCTGGATGGTGCATGGCTCATGGTGCATGGTGCATGGGGCATGGTGCATGGGGCATGGTGGATGGGGCATGGTGCATGGTGCATGGGTCATGGTGCATGGTGCATGGTGCATGGGGCATGGTGCATGGGGCATGGGGCATGGTGCATGGGGCATGGGGCATGGGGCATGGTGCATGGGGCATGGGGCATGGGGCATGGGGCATGGTGCATGGGGCATGGGGCATGGTGCATGGAGCATGGTGCATGGGGCATGGGGCATGGTGCATGGGGCATGGTGCATGGGGCATGGGGCATGGTGCATGGTGCATGGTGCATGGGTCATGGTGCATGGTGCATGGTGCATGGTGAAAGGTGAATGGTGCATGGTGCAAGAATGGTGAATGGTGCATGGTGCATGGGGCATGGTGCATGGGGCATGGGGCACAGGGCACGGGGCACGAGGCACGAGGCATGGTGCATGGTGCATGGTGCAAGGTGCAAGATGCAAGGTGTATGGTGCATGGTGCAAGGTGCAAGGTGCATGGTGCATGGTGCATGGTGCATGGTGCATGGTGCATGGTGCATGGTGCATGGTGCATGGTGCAAGGTGCATGGTGCATGGTGCAAGGTGCAAGGTGCAAGGTGCATGGTGCATGGTGCATGGTGCAAGGTGCAAGGTGCAAGGTGCATGGTGCATGGTGCAAGGTGCAAGGTGCATGGTGCATGGTGCATGGTGCATGGTGCATGGTGCATGGTGCATGGTGCATGGTGCATGGTGCATGGTCCAAGGTGCAGTGCATGGTGAATGGTCCATGGTGGATGAGCCATGGGCCTCATCACACTACCCTACCCCTCACCAACTCTATCCCCGCGCATCTCCCTGTTGCGCCCTGCCCACCCCCTTGCCCTTGCCCCTGCAGGTGCTGCCGCGCATCAAGGCGGCGGGGTACAATGCGGTGCTGCTGCTGGGCATCATGGAGCACCCCGACTATGCCTCGCTGGGCCTCAAGGTGCGCGCAAGGGCCGAGGGATGAGGGGCAAGGTATAAGAACTTGATGCTCAGGGCGAGGGGCGGGCAAGGGGCAACTAGGTGCGGCTGCTGCTGCTGGGCTGGGCATCATGGAACACCCCGACTATGCCTCGCTGGGCCTCAAGGTGCGCGGGCACTGGGGGCGCCACAGACGAAATGATTGATTGAGTTTTGGGGCTCAACTCAATGCTTCTTCTTACAGCAACCACAGGTTGAAGAGAGCTCAAATGGCACCACGGAGGGACAATCTTAAAGAGATTGGTTTGGTTGAAATCTCCAGTTGGTGAGTTGGGAATTCTGGTGCATCGCATTTGCGTGACGTTGGGGTTGGTGGAACACCCAATCTCACCCAGATTACGAGTAGAAAGTGGGTCCAGTCCACCACACACAATTGTGTGGGATTGTTGTCCACCACCCAATCTCCGTCTCCACCACAAGGTGGGTGTGTGTGAGGAGAAGTGACGTGACGGGCTGTGTCTGCTAAGAATTGCCGTTACACAGCGGCAGTGTGGGCGTGGGAGGAACAGAGCGCGTGAAGGAGTGGGAAGGGGAAGTGCATGGAGACGGGAGGTTGGGTGGGGTGGGAAGAAACCGAGGCACATGCTGCAAGTAGCAGGCGGATTAGCACATTGAGAGTTGCGCTGTGACCTGCTCACACGTTGCTTGGTGCCACAACGTCTGCTGCTCATCGCGAGTCTCTTTCGTACTCCCACATGCCTCCATCTCCATCTCCCCATGCACGTCCATTCATTATTCTCTTCCCTCCTTCCCCAACCCCACCTCCCCCCCCTGGCGTTTGTGTGTGTGCTGTGTCGGGCATGGCAGGTGTCGAGTCCGTTCGCAGTGAGCAGTCGCTTTGGCTCCCCGGATGCTTTCAAACGACTCGTCGACACCGCACATGGTCAGACGGGGTGGGGGGATGCGCGTGTTGAGGAAAATGAATGTGGTGCAATGAGGGGGTGGTGGCGCAGGGAAGCACAGAGAGCATGTACTGCTGTGCATGGCATGGGGAAAGGCAGTGTTGCTTGCGAGACAAGACTACCGCATGCGTCCCACCAGGTGGAGGGAGGGACTCTTACTAACACCCCTCCCACCCCTCCCCTCCTCCTCCCCCCTTCCCCTCATTTCCCACCCCACTTCCCACCCCCGCGCCCTACCAGGCATGGGGCTGCTGGTGATGATGAGCGTGGTGCTCTCACAGGTGGGGTCGTACGAGGCATTTGGTCTCCTCAACTTCGACGGCCAAGCCAACTCCTTCATCCGCCCAGGCACGTGCTCTGCGCCCTGCCGTGCCTTGCCGTGCCTTGCCATGCATGCGCCCACGCGCTTACGCGCATGTTTGGGTGACCACACATGGCGTGTGTGCTGTCTGCATTGCATGTGCTGGGTCTGTCGCCAACTCTATGCCTCACCGCCCGTTTGTCCTCTCCACAGCCCTCTCCCACTCTCCCCACTTTCCGCCGCTTCCTGCGCTGGCTCCACCGCACTCCACCATGGCAGACCTATGCAATCTGCAGCCGTGCCACACCGTCCACAATTGTGCATTGCATAGCGCTGTTTTTGTCTGCTGTTTTATCATTTATTTATACATTTATTATTTACTATTATTACTATTATTATATTACTATTATTATTGCTATTGTTATTATTAGTATTGTTATTATTATGGAGGATGGAATACACTATACATTGCTACATTCACAGTTGTAACTGGCATTGCAGAGCGTGGTTGTGGTGCAGTACCTCCTCCCAAACCATACGCGCTGCTCCTTCACCTGTACATTACCTCACCCCCTCATGTCTCCTCTTCCTCTCTTCCTCGTCCACTCGCTGCATGCCTCTACCCATGCCACGTGTGTGCATGGCAGGCAAGCGCGGGTACCACAAGCGGGTGGGCACGCGCATCCCGGACTTCGGCAGCTACGAGGTCAAGCGCTACCTGCTCTCCAACCTGCGCTGGTACGCGCTAGCAGGGCGCAGAGCGGGAAGGGGCAGTGGGAGGGGGACGGGGAATGGGGGACGGGACAAGAGATGGGGGGTTGGGGCAGTAGGAAGTGAATGCAAAGGGAGGACAAATGGGTAAAGAAGGGGAATAGAAAAGGGGAAGGGTGGCGAGGGGGATGGGGAAGAGAAAGGCTGAAGGGAGCTTGAATGGTTGAATGCGGTTGTGTGTGTTGGAAGGAAACGAAAGGGGGCGGAGAGGGGAGTGGATGACGGGAGGGAATGGAGAGGAGAGGAGAGGGCAGCACTGGGGAGGGGAAGGTGGTTGGGAGCATATGGTGTTCTGCCCATGCAGGTTATCTTGAGTGCGGTTGCACTGATTGAGCACATACGGGGATGGAGGTAAACCAAACCAAGGTAGGGGAGCAGCAGCATGGCAGGTACATTGAGGGGTTTCATTGACCACTGTATATCTGGGCAAGAGTTGGTCCTCTTCATGCCCCACACATCCACCTCGCCTCTGTGCCTAGTTGCTTGTGTAGAAAGGTCATGTGGCAATACGTGTCACATGCTCCTTGCATGCTTCTGTGCATGCATGTGTGTGCATGTTTGTGTGCTGTGTGTGTGCATGCGTGTGTGTATGTGTGTTCATGTCTGTGCATGTGCATGTATGCGCGCATCGGTGTGCATGGGTGCATGGGTCCATGGGTGCACGTGTGTGCGTCATCAGGTGGGCGGAGGAGTATCAGTTGGACGGCATGCTGTTCCACTCCTTGCCATCCATGATCTACTACCACAATGGATACTCCGACTTCGAACGCGGGGTGGAAGAGTGAGTCCTTCGCATGCTCATGCTCATGCTCATGCTCATGCTCATGCTCATGCTCACGCCACGCACAACCACGCATGCGCGCATGCATGTCATGCTCATGCTCATACCCATGCATGCACAGGCCGCAGCTTCGCAGCACACGCGCCAACATGCATGCACTCAACTTAAATCTTACTGCATGGTGTGAATACAAAGGCCTCATCCCACCGGCCTGAACCATTCCCCCCCTCTTCTCCCTTCCCATCATTTCCCCTTCTGTTCCCCTCTTCTTCCCCTCCCCTTCTCCCCTCACCCCTTCCCCTTCCTCTCCCATTCCACACACATCCCCCCCACCCTCCCCGCACCGCACTCCCTCTCCCCCCCCTCCTCTCCCCCCCTCCAGGTTCTTCGGAGCAGCAGTGGACGAGGATGCGTTAGCATACCTGGTACTGGCGAACGACATGCTGCACCAGCTCAACCCCGCCTTCCTCACCATCGCCCATGACGTACGTCACTGCTCATGCCGCGGGCTGTCAATGGCCTTCTGCTGACTTGCTGGGGATTGGGGAGGAGATGGGGGAGGAAGGGGGGAGTGGTAGCAGCAGGGCCAAGCGTGCTGTCTCTTTCTTCATGCATCACTCTTCCCCATTCACTCCCCGCCCTTCCGCCTTGCTACCGCAGCCCTGCTTGCGTGCAAGGAAGGACTACCAGGGCTGGGGTTTGACCTGCGCCCCGCCTCCTCCTCCTTTCCCCTTTACCCACCCTGCGCACTGCCTTTTCTCAGGCGACAGTTTACCCGGGGTTGTGTGCGGGGACGCACGAGGGCGGGCTGGGGTTTGACCTGCGGCTGAATGGTGCGCCCATGGAGATGTGGCCGTGGCTGCTGCACCACGCGTGGCAGGGGGGCGAGGTAGTGCCGGGGAAGACGCACTTGGAGGAGTGGAGCATGGAGGAGGTGCGTGCGTGGGTGTGTGGGTGGGTGAGTGGGTGAGTGGGTGAGTGAGTGAGTGAGTGAGTGAGTGAGAGCGAGGTGAGTGTGTCTCAGTTTGCGACCACATGGTGTGTGGGTGGGGCTGTAGGAGTGGCAGGGCAGCATGTGGCCAACAGGCGCAATGGGAAAGCAGGAGGAAAGGGGGAGGAAAATGGGGGAGGGGAGAGAGGGGAGCGTGCACAGGCAAAACGTGGAGTAGTTGGGAGGCAGTTGCTGCCTTGGCGTTTTTATGAGTATGTTCATGCTCTGTGCTGCTCACACACAGCATGAGTGTTGTGCATCTGTGCTGCTCTGTGCCTATAAGAGCAGTGTTATACAAGTGCATCGTTGCACTTGTGCCTCTTTTTCTCTGCATGTGTGTGTCAGCGATCCCCTGCTGCTGCCAATCAATTAGGGACAGTCTAGCAAGCTCAGAGCGAAGAGCTCTGCCCTCCCTTTCCACACCTCCCACCCCCCCTGCTGGCACTAAAGAGTGCCGAAAAAACACTCCTCTTGCTTATTTCCTTCTGTTTCTGTAATGCACAGTTCATTAGCAACCACGCACTTGTCTCTGCATTGAGAACTCTCAAAGGTGATTCTAGCAGCCACAACACAGTTGTCTCTCCTTCACGCCGCCTTCTTGTCCCTCCCCTGGTCTCTCCTGCCTTCTCGCTGTGTGCCATGCAGATGATGCTCACATTGCTGCAGCAGGGCTGTGGGGAGCGCACCTTGGTGTGCGCCGAGGGCCACTTGCAGGTGCGATGGATACATGTGTGCATGTGGATGTTTATATGTGTGTGCTAAGTGTGCGTGTTTACGTGTGGAAGTTCTCATGTGCACGTTAGAATGTGGGTTATGTATGTGCGAGTGGGTTTTTGCATGTTTTCACACAGAACTTTTATTTTCCACTCTGTCTAGCAGCAAAGTCAACTCACATGAACAACCATCCAATGCCGCGAACTCTCTACAGCTCATCCTTGATCTTCATTCTTCTCGATCTGCTGTTCTTCTCATGCCCACTTCCACCGCCCTCCCTCCCTCCCCCTCCCTCCCCCCCCCGTCCCTGCTCCCATTGAGACAAGCAGGCGGTAGCAGGAGACCCTCTAGCGCACACACTGATAGGCCGATACATGCCGGATGAAGAGGAGCGGCCATCTGGCACACACTTGCCATGGTCGTCAGCACCATCAGCAGCAGCGACTGTGTGGTACCAGCTACCTCAAGTGCACCGCGGCGTGGCTCTCTACAAAGTACCACCTCTCATCATCCCTGCCCTCTGCTGCTCCGCTCCTCTATCTCACTGCAAGCTGCATGCTGTTTAAAGTATTCTGGAAAACTTCCTGCATTCGTCCTGCCACTTCAGCAACCCTCTCCTCGCTACTGCTTTCCTCCCACACCCTGCTGCCCTCCCTCATCCGTCCCCCAATCCCTCTCTCCTCCTCCTCCCTTCCCCGCACCCCTTCACCCCAACCCCATGGCAGTTGATTCGGCTGATAACGTTGTCAGCAGCGGGGGATGCATACATGTCGTTCATGGGGAATGAGTTCGCCCACCCGCATGTCAGTCACCCCCATCCTCCCTCTTCCATCCATTCGCGTGGCATGGCATGGCATTTCATTCCGCAAAGCCACGGACCTTTTTTTGTGGCATGTTCATGAACGTTCGTCTTTTCTTGAGAATGTTGAATTCATCCAGCCCCGTGTTCGTCTCTATGTTAACTTGACTACGCAGAGCTCGCTGCTTCGGGTCCCTTCATCTCGCTCCGTTTTTTCCCTGCCTGTCACCTCATCCCTGCCTCGTCTACATCATTGGGAGCACCAGCATACCAGCCATCTTAGTCACTCCCTTTTCAGACTGCAACCAACACCAGCATGCACATAATGCTTCTCACGAATGCCTCCTCTCCTCCCCTCTCCCCCTCTCCTCTACTCTCCTCCTCTTCCCCTCTCCCCCTCTGCCCCTCTATCCGCTCACCCCCAGCGCCTGCATCTGACATCAAGGCCGCATGAGGGCTCGTCGCAGTGCTGCTGGCAACTGCAGGAGGACGCCCGCAGCCCCTTCGCCCACATCGCTGCCTTTGATAGGGTACTGCCTGCCCCTGTGTGCTTGCATGTCACATGCTCACTCTGCCCATGCATGCTAGCTAGCTGGTGCGATGAATGTGCACCCTCGTGGGCATGCACTGTGTTGTTGAAGCGTGCACATGTGTGCACATGCACTTGCACATGCACATGTGCCGTGCATACGAGTCGCTACATTACATTCACATCTTGATCCTTAGTCGGACAGTCCAGTGTGGCATGTATGTGCGTGTGCATGTGCATGTGCATGTGCGGGTGCCTGTGCCTGTGTGTGTGCATGTGCGTGTGCATGTGCATGTGCATGTCCTCATCGCGTCTTCAAGCCATACCCAGAAACATTTACATGCCGCGCTTTCTCCTCTTTGCATGGCAACATGTGTTGTGTGTTGCTATCGTCTGTTCTTCGGTGCAAATTGTGATGGCATGGCATGGCAGGCGGTGATGGCGTTGGACGAGAGGGAGGGAGTGCTGGCGCTGGAGAAGCCCCACATGCGCCATGTCAGCGAGGAGCACCGGGTGAGATGTGGTGATGGCTGGCAGGTGATGGCAGGTGATGGCAGGTGATGGCAGGTGGTGCAGTGATGGCAGGTGAACTGCTTGCTATCATGGCAAATAGTTTCTCCCACTCCTTCAGTTTGAATCTGTGCTGGGTTTTTAATTCCAGCATACAGTTACTTTTGGGAACCGCATGAGGGGACAATCAGTCATTCCCTGCTCACTCACCATCTTCTCTTGCTCTCTCTCTCTCTGCCTGCCTTGCCATCTGTGCCCAGGTGGTGTGCTTCACGCGCGGCCCACTGCTCTTCCTCTTCAACTTCCACCCCGCGCGCTGCTTTGCCTCCTTCTCCATCGCCCTGCCTCGTGCCGGCGAGTACACTGTGAGCTACCCGTCCCATGCTGCCCTTTCACCATCACAACCACCACCATTCGCCCCACCACCGTCCCTTGTCATTTTCTCTCACCCTTCCTCCTCTCATCACCTGCCACAGCCCCTTTTTGGAGGAATGCGCATGTGTTGCTCTCCATCCATTGTCCCCCACCTCCTCTCCTCCCATCCCTCCCATCCCTTGCTTTTCTCTCCCCTCCCTCTCACCCTTCCTCGTGCCAACTCCACTTCCTCCACCTGTCTGTCCCGCCACACCTGTGTGCCCCAGCTACTGTTGGACTCAGAAGCACGGGAGTATGGCGGGGGGCACCACACACACGGCATCCACGCTCTGCCCACCGTGCAAGCCACGCCCACGCCGCTGCCTCCCCACTCGTACGTCTCAACACACGCCTTACCATCATCTGCTTCACCCGTGTCCGCTTCGCACCACCCTCACAAGCAGTTTAAAAATGGGCACGCTCAGCTGATGGGTGTGGCTGTTATTGAGAGCACTATCAACCCGCGTTTCCAATTGTTTTCACTGTGCCAATCCACCTCGTTTCTGTGCACTTTATGGGTGCATTTCGCTTCTCTTGAGATTGGTCCATGTGACCTCTCGTTTCCAACCCCACCCACACCCATTTGATGCCATGTGCTGATCTTCTCAGTTGTGAAGCTTCCATCGTGCTGTTTTTCTGAATGGCTAATATCTCTGTGTTTCTCCCATGTCACGTGGACAGGCAAGTATACCGCAGGGGAGCCACAGCATCCTTTGCACTGCCTGCTCTCACTGCTCAGGTACCTCTCAACCCAACCTAACTCACCCTAACCCAACGTAACCGAACCCTCTCCCACTCGATCCCCCTTCCTGCTGCTCCGTGTCCTCTCTTCACACCCTGATTCGCATGCAAAGTGCTCCGTGGCCTCTTGCTTCCTTCAATGCTTGCCCGACATTGCTCCAAACAGAGCTCACTCTTGCTGTGCGCATGTCTCTTGTCTGTCTGCCTTACCACCCTCCCCTATGGCAGGTATACCGCCTGGATAGAGTCTGGGAGGGCAGCCCTGATGCTGTGCCCTCAGAGACTGTCTGACAGTCTCACATAGCAGCCTGATACTACCAATTGTGGGCCACCCTAACCTACCCAGTCCGAGTTCTCAAATAATATTGCTGTACAAATAATGCCGAGGATGATGTGCTGGTTAGAAATCTGCAAGTGACGCAAGCATGTAACGTAACGGTCCTAACAAATGAGGACTTATTTTTCCAAAAGAAATAACCTGGACCATCACAGTGGCTTTAAAAGACTTGGAGGGCTAGGACGAAACGGGCTTGGCGAAGACGTAGGGCAGGGGATGGCTCAGAGTAAGCGCTTTTAATGTACAAGTGGTGCCGTAGTAATGAGCAATAATAACTGCTCACAATTATCTCGGAGTTTAACAAGTAACAGTATAACGAGTCTCTATTCCGTCACCGACGGTAACCTCACTTCATTTCCCTTCACCCTCCCTTGTTTTTGCGCGTGGCACTTAGTAAAACCGTTTCTTATTTTAGACGACTTGCCAACCCGCTTTCACAGTCGACCCCGCTATCCGCCAAGATGAATGCGCCAGATCGCTATGAGCGCTTCGTGCTCCCCGATGGCATGAAAAAGTGAGTGCATCCCCGTGGCAGCAACAACAGAGAGACGACTTTTGAGGCGCCTCAAAAGTTGGGACCCCACGGCCGTAAGGACAGAGAGAGCGACGGGACGAGCTGGATAGACCAAGAGCACAGCTCAGCTTCGCACGTTCATCGGCCGCCCCTTACCTCCGCTTTATAGTCCCCCTTGCTTCTCGCTTCTCGTCGCCCGAAGGGGGCAAAGGGGGATGGAAGGTGTGCGGGTGGCGGCAACGGGGATGGCGGAAAGGGATGGGGGTGGGGGGCGGGATTTAATCATACAGGAAGCGGAGGGCAGCGCGCGTGGATAATCGTGGGATGGCGTTGCTATCACACACCTTTGCGTTTCTGCCTCAGCCTTTTGCCTCTGCCTGTCTGCCCGTACCCGTCCCCATACCCTTGCCCGTGCCCGTTCCCGTTCCCGTGACCGTGCGTGTGCGTGTGCGTGTGCGTGTGCGTGTGCGTGTGCCTGTGCCTGTGCGTGGGTGTGCGTGTGCGTGTGCGTGGGTGTGCGTGGGTGTGCGTGTGCGTGTGCGTGCATCAGAGTGTCGTACGAGCGCGACACCAAGGTGTTGAACGCGGCGACGCTGGTGATTCAGAGGGAGGACCACACCATCGGCAACCTGCTGCGCATGTACGTGCCCTGCCCGCACCGCCGCCTCGCACCCTGTTACTCTCTGCCTCACCCTGCCACACCCGGCCACACCCTGCCTCACCCTGCCGCACCCTGCCTCACCCTGCCTCACCCTACCGCACCCTGCCTCACCCTGCCTCTCCCTGCCGCGCCCTGCCACGCCCTGCCACGCCCTGCCAAGAAGTGATAAAAAATTCATATAGTCTGCACCACGCACAACAGGTCTCTACCATTGCGTTAGTGTCACCGCTCTCTGCTTCTCACACGCCCCTCCCCATTCCGTCTTCCGCTCATTTTCTTCATCTCTTCTGGCCTCTCAACGCTTATCATCTACCACCTGACCCGCTGTCGCTCGCCACGCCATGCCTCCTCTTCCTCCTACCTCCATTACCTCCCCTCCCATCCCCTCCCCCGCCTTGTCGCACACTTTTTACTCCTGAATGTGTGGGGAAATCGTTGCAATGGTTGCATGCATGGGTGTGGGACGTGGCCATGCTTCGTGTGGATGGGGTGCTCTGATGGACTGCATGTTGAGGGTGTATCACGCTTGCACTCTGCGTACACTCATGGAATTTGCGCACTCACGGATGCGCGCATTCACGGAGTGTGTGCGTGCATGGGGTTGAATGGCTGGTGCATGGGTTTGCAGGCAGCTACACAGAGACCCTCATGTGCTCTTTGTTGGGTACCGCATTCCTCACCCTCTCAAGTATGAAGTGCAGTTCAAGGTCCGTCTGCACCTCCGCCCACTCATGCTTTTCATCCTCCTCTCGCTCCTAACACTGTCCGTTGGTCACCTCTAGAAAGGAAATATGAGCTTATATCTGCTGATTATATGACCTCCTTTCTTTGTCCTTGTCCCTTCCTTCTTCTGACACTGTATTCCTCCTCCGCATCCGCGTTTGGCTTGTCCAACTGTCCGTTGTGACAGTCTTCTGTCACATCCCTTTCTCCCTTGACCCACCCCGACCCACGTGTTTCCTCTATCTTCCTCTTGCCTCCCCTTTCTCTTGCGCTTCCCCCTCGCTTTCCACAATGCAAGCTCCCGTGTGTGCCCACCCGTCACCGCTTTCCCTCCTCCACACTCTGTGCCGTCCATCCCACCCATGCGCGTCCCATGCCGCCCGTGCCCCCGTGGTCCATGCAGATCCAAACTACGAGCCAGTCTTCTCCCCAGCAGGCGTACAACACAGCCCTCACTGCCCTCGATGGAGAAATGCTGCAACTCAAGGCTTCCTTTCAAGTCAGGCTTTCTTTCACCACTCTCTCAATCTCTCACTCACTCACTCATGTGTGCGTACATGCACACCTGCACCCACCTGCCACCACCATCCACATCCACATCCACATTCACATCCACATTCACATCCACATCCACATCCACATCCACATCCACATCCACATCCACATTCACACTGACACCCACACTGACACCCACACGCACACACGTACACCCACATGCGCATGATCACACCCACGCACCCGTGCTCACACCTGCGCATACATTCCCTTACTGCTTTCCCTCCCTCCAGCCGTTCATCATGAAATGATGACGATGAATACAGTGTGTCAATGTCTGCAGAAAGTGTAGAAGCATTTTTTTGCGTGTTTGCGCATATGAATGCGTTCACTTACTGACCAGATTGAAGCACTGGTGTGTCTCTCCCGCTTTATGTTCTTTGCAGGAGGCAGTGAAGCAATGTCGTGAGCGCCCAGCTTACTACTGACATTTTTGGTTTCCCTGTATTTGTACGCTTAGAAAACGTACTGCACTGGATTTTTTTCTGCGCCCTGTTATGGTGTTGTTTTGTAATAAAGTTATATATAGCCGTTTCATCTGCCATAAACTACCTCACCAGATACCAAACTATTCTGGGGATATAACTATAATTCTTAGGACCTATATTTGAGAATAACACGTTTTAGATGTGTGCACCAACATTAGGTTTGGAAGCCCATCCATCCATCCTGACCTCCGCACTTCTTGGCTCCTTGGAAACCCCTTCCGTCCCCCGTAATTTGGTTTATCCTCATCACAGGATACTCCCCAGCGAAGCTGGTGGCTGTCCGCTAGGATAGGGGAATAACGTGTTCAACACGTACGCCTTAAAGCCAGGGTCTCATGTACAACTTTGGGCAACAACTGCAAAGCACTTGATTGAAGTGGTTACCTTGTGACTCAAAACGACGCGGGGGTTTGGTTGGAAGTACAGAAACCTACCTTGCGACACCCAAAACACACCAAGCGACTGACGCCCAACACTACTGGTCGCACGCACACTCAACCACAAACACACTCAAATGCAACTGCACAACAAGCACTGCCTTACACGAGACTATGACTGCGCCTAGTGTGAAACCTACTCGCCGCCTCCCAGGCGATTAGCGTAGCAACCCAAGCACACAAACTACTAACGACCGTCCCGACGCGCACACGTCAGGTCCACTACCTCGCGCGACAAACACATCGAAATTCGTCCAGACCAAGGCGGGGAATCAACAATGCGCCACGGGAGGCGCCGTAGGCGCAATGCACACGAAGCAGCCCACAGTCGCGCAATGACCGAAAACCAAGGTTCCAACGTGCAGGTAGGCAACGACACGACGAGTAGGCAAGCTTAGCCTAAAGTCTGGGGTACACCATCACAGAGCGACGACCCTGACCGAGCATCGTGCACATCCGCAGGAGCGTGCGCGTTCCAGCGGAAGGAGGTCCCATATCGCGCCAAGCATGCATTGATGGACATAAAAAAAAGACCGCCGAAAGGGGAGTGCAATACAACAAGGGCTGATGCCGAGCATCTCGGACAAAAGCATACGCTAGACGGGAATGCCTATCACGCAAATGACCCAGCACCGCGCAAACCAGGCCAGCGCCGCGCATATCAGGACAGTGCCGCGCATATCTGGACAGCGCCGCGCATATCTGGACAGCGCCGCGCATATCTGGACAGCGCCGCGCATATGTGGACAGCGCCGCGCATATCTGGACAGCGCCGCGCATATGTGGACAGCGCAGCGCATATCTGGACAGCGCCGCGCATATCTGGACAGCGCCGCGCATATCTGGACAGCGCCGCGCATATGTGGACAGCGCCGCGCATATCTGGACAGCGCCACGCATATGTGGACAGCGCAGCGCATATCTGGACAGCGCCGCGCATATCTGGACATTCCCGCCTGGTCCGCACTCACACATTCCCGCCTGGTCCGCACTCTCACATTCCCGCCTGTCCCGCACTCTCGCTCACCCCCCTGTTCCGCACTCTCACATTCCCCCCTGTTCCACACTCTCACATTCCCCCCTGTTCCGCACTCTCACATTCCCCCCTGTCGCTCACTCTCGCATACCCACCTGCCTGTCATAGGCACTCACACATTCCCTCGTGCCCAGCACTCTCCCATTCCCACGGGCCCAGCACCCTAACATTACCTCCTATCCCGCACTCTCACATCCCCTCCTCGCCCGCACTCTCACATCCCCTCCTCTCCCGCACTCTCTCATTCCCTCCTATCCCGCACTCTCTCATCCCCTCCTCTCCCGCACTCTCTCAATCCCTCCTATCCCGCACTCTCTCATTCCCTCCTATCCCGCACTCTCTCATTCCCTCCTATCCCGCACTCTCTCATTCCCTCCTATCCCGCACTCTCTCATTCCCTCCTATCCCGCACTCTCTCATTCCCTCCTATTCCGCCCTCCCTCATTCAGGCCTGTCCCGCACTCTCGCATACCCCTTCCTGGCCCACTCACATACCCCCTCACCCGCACTCACACATTCCCCCCTGTTCCGCACTCTCACAGTCCAGCCTGGACCGCACCGCACTCTCGCATTCCCCCCTCTTCCGCACTCTCACATACCCCCCTGTTCCGCACTCCCACCCTCCCCCCTGTTCCGCACTCTCACATTCCCCCTGTTCCGCACTCTCCCATTCCCCCCTGTTCCGCACTCTCACATTTCCTCGTGGCCAGCACTCTCCCATTCCCACGGGCCCAGCACCCTAACATTACCTCCTATCCCGCACTCTCACATCCCCTCCTCTCCCGCACTCTCTCATTCCCTCCTATCCCGCACTCTCTCATCCCCTCCTCTCCCGCACTCTCTCATTCCCTCCTATCCCGCACTCTCTCATTCCCTCCTATCCCGCACTCTCTCATTCCCTCCTATCCCGCACTCTCTCATTCCCTCCTATCCCGCACTCTCTCATTCCCTCCTATCCCGCACTCTCTCATCCCCTCCTCTCCCGCACTCTCTCATTCCCTCCTATCCCGCACTCTCTCATTCCCTCCTATCCCGCACTCTCTCATTCCCTCCTATCCCGCACTCTCTCATTCCCTCCTATCCCGCACTCTCTCATTCCCTCCTATTCCGCCCTCCCTCATTCAGGCCTGTCCCGCACTCTCGCATACCCCTTCCTGGCCCACTCACATACCCCCTCACCCGCACTCACACATTCCCCCCTGTTCCGCACTCTCACAGTCCAGCCTGGACCGCACCGCACTCTCGCATTCCCCCCTCTTCCGCACTCTCACATACCCCCCTGTTCCGCACTCCCACCCTCCCCCCTGTTCCGCACTCTCACATTCCCCCTGTTCCGCACTCTCCCATTCCCCCCTGTTCCGCACTCTCACATTTCCTCGTGGCCAGCACTCTCCCATTCCCACGGGCCCAGCACCCTAACATTACCTCCTATCCCGCACTCTCACATCCCCTCCTCTCCCGCACTCTCTCATTCCCTCCTATCCCGCACTCTCTCATCCCCTCCTCTCCCGCACTCTCTCATTCCCTCCTATCCCGCACTCTCTCATTCCCTCCTATCCCGCACTCTCTCATTCCCTCCTATCCCGCACTCTCTCATTCCCTCCTATCCCGCACTCTCTCATTCCCTCCTATCCCGCACTCTCTCATCCCCTCCTCTCCCGCACTCTCTCATTCCCTCCTATCCCGCACTCTCTCATTCCCTCCTATCCCGCACTCTCTCATTCCCTCCTATCCCGCACTCTCTCATTCCCTCCTATCCCGCACTCTCTCATTCCCTCCTATCCCGCACTCTCTCATTCCCTCCTATCCCGCACTCTCTCATCCCCTCCTCTCCCGCACTCTCTCATTCCCTCCTATCCCGCACTCTCTCATTCCCTCCTATCCCGCACTCTCTCATTCCCTCCTATCCCGCACTCTCTCATCCCCTCCTCTCCCGCACTCTCTCATTCCCTCCTATCCCGCGCTCTCTCATTCCCTCCTATCCCGCACTCTCTCATTCCCTCCTATCCCGCACTCTCTCATTCCCTCCTATCCCGCACTCTCTCATTCCCTCCTATCCCGCACTCTCTCATTCCCTCCTATTCCGCCCTCCCTCATTCAGGCCTGTCCCGCACTCTCGCATACCCCTTCCTGGCCCACTCACATACCCCCTCACCCGCACTCACACATTCCCCCCTGTTCCGCACTCTCACAGTCCAGCCTGGACCGCACCGCACTCTCGCATTCCCCCCTCTTCCGCACTCTCACATACCCCCCTGTTCCGCACTCCCACCCTCCCCCCTGTTCCGCACTCTCACATTCCCCCTGTTCCGCACTCTCCCATTCCCCCCTGTTCCGCACTCTCACATTTCCTCGTGGCCAGCACTCTCCCATTCCCACGGGCCCAGCACCCTAACATTACCTCCTATCCCGCACTCTCACATCCCCTCCTCTCCCGCACTCTCTCATTCCCTCCTATCCCGCACTCTCTCATCCCCTCCTCTCCCGCACTCTCTCATTCCCTCCTATCCCGCACTCTCTCATTCCCTCCTATCCCGCACTCTCTCATTCCCTCCTATCCCGCACTCTCTCATTCCCTCCTATCCCGCACTCTCTCATTCCCTCCTATCCCGCACTCTCTCATCCCCTCCTCTCCCGCACTCTCTCATTCCCTCCTATCCCGCACTCTCTCATTCCCTCCTATCCCGCACTCTCTCATTCCCTCCTATCCCGCACTCTCTCATTCCCTCCTATCCCGCACTCTCTCATTCCCTCCTATCCCGCACTCTCTCATTCCCTCCTATCCCGCACTCTCTCATCCCCTCCTCTCCCGCACTCTCTCATTCCCTCCTATCCCGCACTCTCTCATTCCCTCCTATCCCGCACTCTCTCATTCCCTCCTATCCCGCACTCTCTCATTCCCTCCTATCCCGCACTCTCTCATTCCCTCCTATCCCGCACTCTCTCATTCCCTCCTATCCCGCACTCTCTCATTCCCTCCTATTCCGCCCTCCCTCATTCAGGCCTGTCCCGCACTCTCGCATACCCCTTCCTGGCCCACTCACATACCCCCTCACCCGCACTCACACATTCCCCCCTGTTCCGCACTCTCACAGTCCAGCCTGGACCGCACCGCACTCTCGCATTCCCCCCTCTTCCGCACTCTCACATACCCCCCTGTTCCGCACTCCCACCCTCCCCCCTGTTCCGCATTCTCACATCCCCTCCTCTCCCGCACTCTCTCATTCCCTCCTATCCCGCACTCTCGCCAAAACCCCGCCTGTCCAGCACTCACGCATTCCCCTCCTCTGCACTCTCACATTCCCCTTCCCTTGGCTCTCACATTCCCCTTCCCTGCACTCTCACATTCACCTTCCCTGCACTCTCACATTCCCCTTGCCTGCACTCACACAATCCCCTGTCCTGCAAGTCTAACTTACCAGCACATTCGGACTGCCAACCAACTCCCCACCACCAATTCCGCCAACAGGAGGGCGCCGAGCAAGAACAAACAACGCCACCAGTGGACAACGGGAGCGTGCCTGATGAACACCCGTACAAACCGGCCATGGATGCACTCGAGCAACGCACCATATCCATTGGGACCCACATGAAGATTCCCATGGCCCTCATGCGATGCGGTTTGACAGCACTAAGGGGTGGAAACCAGGTGGCGAGCACAAACGATGTGCTGCACGTGCTAGTATCGGAAGCCAGTGAGGCAGTTGCGAAGATGCTGGCAGCAGCTGCCACAGCAGGTAACAAGGGGAGGATGGGATCATTGGTGTGTGTGAGACGGTGCAGTGCCTTAGCGCCTCTAAGAAGGGAACTTTGGGGTGGCACTATCATCCTTGCCCTCCTTACCGCACTACCAGTCATGCGGTCACCAAGGGGCCATCATTGTCGCATGTTGTCCATATGGCACAATAAACAAAACCTATAGCTCAGGATCGGAGACTTGCTTGGGTGAATACAAGAGGACACAGTATCACACAAAAGGTTGAGGGATGGGACCGCGGGACATGTCCAATGCACACACTTCTGTTACACCATCCCCCTCCTTCTGAACCATTGAATTGCAGGACCGGATGGGGAGGCGTCTCTTGCAACAGCAAAAATGCAGCTAGAGGCACAGGAACGGTCCATTCGAAAGAGAGGGGGGGTGGATGGGTCCTCTGTAAAAGACATACTGCAAAGGGTGCCAAGCCATCCCCAACCATTCACCTATAACCTACCGACATACACTTGGAATGCGGCTGGGCAGCTGGTACCTGTCAAGGGCTTCAAGCACGGAGGATCGAGAAAGGGAACAAACTATGAGACATTAAAAGGGGCAGGTACGCATGCAAGGAATGCCGCCGGCCAGGACTGCTGGTTTGGGGTGAGGGTGTAGCATGGCTGCACCTGCTGGTTGGGGGTGGTGGGGCTGGCATTGAAGCGTAGGGGATGCATGGGGAGTGTAGCATTGCTGCACCTCGTCGGGGTGGGGGTGTGGCAGCAAGCATGGAAGCGTAGGGGTTGCATGGGGGTGGTGGGGCTAGCATGGCAGCACCAGAGAGTGTAGGGGTGGTGGGGCTAGCATGGCAGCACCAGAGAGTGTAGGGGTGGTGGGGCTAGCATGGCAGCACGAGAGAGTGTAGGGGCGGTGGGGCATGCATGGCAGCACCAGAGAGTGTAGGGGCGGTGGGGCATGCATGGCAGCACCAGAGAGTGTAGGGGTGGTTGGGCTAGCATGGCAGCACCTGCTGGTTGGGGGTGGATGGCCCCGCAACTTATATTCTTACGGCATTCTTACGTGTGCTGCGGCCCCACGGGTCTAATCTGGAATACGAACCAACCAAATAGACTTCCGCGTTGGACCATATCTCCCCTATTCTTTGGGCTTGGTCCCTCGTGCAGAACCCGGGTTTCGTCCAGAAGTAGTGGAGCGGAATGGGGAAATCCAGTCTCCATGCATGGGAAGGGGAGTGTCATGCGGAGGTGACGTGGAGGGCGGAGTGGACGAGGAGGTGACTGGAGACGCCCTCGTTGGCTCTCTTGGACAGGACCCCTCCCCGCTGTCAGTTGGAGGACTGTGCGTGGACGGTGCCCCTCTTGACCACGTGGCGGGGGGCCGCGTAGCCCACACCTACAGTCACAAATGCGGTCGCTCAAGCCCCAACAAATACAAGGTGAGTGCGACTGGTTTTACTACACACATGCGCAGCTCCCGTGTTGCATTTCCACCAATGGATGCCAAACAAGTATTTGCATGTGCGCCCGTACTCAATGCATGATGTACTTGAGCAGGGCAGCACCCGTGTGGTCCGACGCCCCAAGGAGTACCCTAAGACCTCAACCGGTGGCCGCAACGATGGGGATGCCGGCCGACGGCATGGTATGCCTACTCGACCCTCGGGAGATCATACGATTCTTCACGCCTGTGGGATTATGCTGCAGCTGCGGTGGAGGCTGCAAAGGCATGATGACCCTTACGTCTTGGAAACGGTCCTGGGCGTGTCTCTGTCTAACTTGGACGTGTGAGAGTTGCGGCAGAGTTCTACCATGGTGGTCCACGAAACGCGGCCGCACAACTGGTAGTGGTAGTACCAAAGGGCCGCAATCCTCCCTTTTCTTGCCAAAGTATATTGCCTCGTTTGCCCTCGCGGGCATTGGTTTCCAACAGATGTGGGAGGTGAGTCGATCGCTCGGCATCCCAACAATCGGGAAGGAGACCTTCTACAGGTACATGAGAGGTCCCAAGGGGTTATGGAAGGCGATAGAGGATGAAGCTGAGAGGTCTATGGCCGAAGTGCGGGAAGAGATGGGCAAAAGACTCGTTCCATGGGAATGGGTTTGCGTTGATGGGCGATACTCACATCCACGCGAGGCCGAATGGGGAACTGTGACCTTCATGGACCCCATCACTCGCAAAATTATGCACCAAGTGACCAAATCGAGGGTAAACGAGAAGTCTTCGTCGACTGAGCTAGAAGGGTTAGCTTTCAAAGAGGGCCTGAAGCAGTTGGCTGCGATGGGGGTGCACATAAAAGGTATTATTTCGGATGATGGCAGTTCTTTCAAGACTGCAGTGGCGGCCTTAGGAATTGCACATCAAAAAGATGTGTGGCACAAGGCAAGAGCACTTTACAAGAAGTTCCTGAAACTATTGGTAGATGTGCTACGAGATGAGATGGAAGTTGGGGCTGCTACGTGCACTGGGGATTTGTGGTTGTGCACTGCCGCACAGTTGTGGGGGTGGTTGAAAGAGCAGGGCGTGAATACGGAAGGTTTGAGTGGCAGGTCGTCGAAGACTGATCTCATTGCATCTGTATGTGCAAACCTCAAAAAGTTTGCATACGAACCGGACGCTGTGCCAACGTCAAAATGGAAATTTCCAGATTTGCGGAAGGTAATACGGATGAAGGAGCGTGGAGAGGGGGCCCTGGCCAGCGTGGCCAAGCGCCCAAACACAACGAACGAAGGGATGGGACAAGGCGATGTGGGAGCTGAACATGCTGTGACCGTGGAAGAACCCCCAGCCGTGCCGGCAGCGGTGGATGCCCCCCAGCCTGAAGGTCCCACAACTGTCGGTGCAACCACGGCTGAACGGGCCTCGAGTGTGGATGCAGCCACGGTTGCACATCCGTCTGGAGCAGCCATGCCGGAGCAAGTCTTCAACTTCCAATGGGCCGGTGTGCAACAACTCTGGGAGTTCGACCCACATCCAACGCATGGTGTTCCAGTGTCTGCGGAAGCCGAATACGTGCGGCTCACAACGGATACAATGATGCATGGGAAGCCCGAATGTGGTTCAGGGGGTGGAGGAGCAGATGAAGACGGTAAGATGTCATCCAGCCATTCCCCTACTTTCCAGCAACATTCGTTCCTTGCTGTCCATCTCGTACCATCCTGCCATTCCCCTACTTTCCAGCAACCTTCGTTCTTTGCTGTCCATCTCGTACCATCCAGCTATTCCCCCTCCAACGTGTCTTGCATCGCATTGCCATTGAAGAACGGGGCACACACGCTCTCTTATGCATTTTCCATTCATGTCTGCAGATCAAGAGGAGTTGCACGCTTCAACCATGGACACGACCCAACCAGACCTCGTTGGAGACAATTTGCGTTGGACCGAAAGGGGTAGTGCCAAAAGGAAGCGTAGTGGGGCCGGGGCTGGCCTAGCCGACGAAGAAGCGTACTATGAGGTGACGCTGGCACAACGGTGGAGTACGCACTTCAACCATGTGATGGTGAATTGCAATATGATGGTGAAAGATGGTCAGACTCCGTCAGCAGACCGTGTTGCACATCAACTTGCCGTGTCTGCAGACCATTGGGCAGGGATCCACACCAGCTGCGGGCATGCGGGCGAGGTACCTCGATGCGTATCAGAGCATTGGGGACCGGAGAGTGCAGTTTACAAGCCCGGCTCTGAGGCACATGTGGCACTCCGAAAATGGCTCGCTGATCATTGCAGTGCGAAAGAAATGGAATCCTACGTGCAGGGCGCGAGTAACTGGGTGAATGAATCATTTCATTCCTTAGTAATCAAGTACGCACCGAAGGGGATCCATTTTCAAAAGAGTATGGTGCCTAGAATTGGTCTTACTGTGTTGCACTGGAACCAAACGGTGTCACGTCTTGTCGTGGCAATCAAGACGCTCGTGCGGAAGGCGATTCGGGTAAGGCGTGGTAGCAAGGAGCGGATTTTGTCGGACATGGACTGGAGCTGGTTGGACAAGCTCATGGCAGATTGGCGTGATATTGGGCTGGAACGGGACGATGCATCGCCGTCAACTCAGCGGGTCGAGGAGGCTGAGTTGACGGAGCCGCTTCATGTTGATACAACCGACCATACACCAGTTTCAGCTCACACTTTCCCCACTCTACCTGTGGATGCTGAGGCAGATCCACGTGATCTTTCATGCATACAGCCACCTCCTACTCCCCTAGCTGGAATCTCTCCCACCAATGCCGCAGTCACGCCAGCCACCCCCCCATCCACCAGCTTCATTTTTACGGCCCCTGGTGGCCACGTGACGCCAACTTCTAGGGCAGCTCGTGGCAGGAGGTCGAGACGCAATCAGGGTCAAGGGGCTGCATGCAGAACACTCTTCCGTATGTGCAAAGAAATGTGTTTTCACTGGCTCGTTGCTGTTTATATATGACGACCAGCGACGGTGCAGAATTGCAACAGTGGTATTGCTCGTGTTTGTTTTTGTCTTGACGTGTTCGCATGGGATGTTACAAATCTCAGATGAGGCAGTTCCGGTCTTACCACTTGTGCGTCGCCCCTCCAAGCGAGCTCGACAGATATCAATCCGGTATGCTATACTTCGTTTATGGGGTTTTGTGGTACCTTGCTTTGCACTTGCTACGGTCTTGCTGGTTGAGCAATCCGACTGTCTTGCTGGAAGGGCAGCATGGGAGGCTGCAGATATTGTCGGCCCATGCTTTCCGTCAACACACCCTTTCCCCCCCCCCCCCCAACCTTTCACCACCTATATCAGCCCTTTTGTACTGCCATCCCCGTACGTGCACGCCCTTTTATCCTTTGTTCAGCAGCGGCATGGCATATGTGTGTGATCGTGACTCTGCGGTGGCAGCTGGATGAGGAGCATGGGAGGCAGCAGATATTGCAGCCCCAGCCACGCGCACAACACACCCTTTCCCCACCCCCACACACTTGACCCCCTTTTTGCCCCTTTGTGCTGCTATCGTCAGCAGATGCCCGCATTGAGCTTCCAGTCACCAGGCGATTTTGATTTGTGTGTGATCCCGCCACTCTACCGTGGTAGCTGGCTGAGAATTATGGGCGGATTCAGACATTGCATCCCCAGCCTCATGCAAAACACTCCCTTTCCCCACCCCCCACCCCTTTACCTCCTTTTATGCCCCATTGTGATGCCATCCCCTTGTGATGCCCGCACTGTTTTCCTATCACCAGCCGCTTTTGGGTCTGTGTGTGACCCTGTGACTCTACCGTGGTTGTTTGTGAATTCACTCGTAGGGGAGGATGCAGATACCGTGGCCCATGCCTCATGCAAAACACTCCCTCCTCCCATTCCCCACCCCTTCCACCTTTTTCATCGCTTACAAACGCCGTACATAGCCTACTGGATTATCATCTCGACGCAGATGAACCTTCTCGCAAAGTGGTTGGCAGCAAACGTGGCTCTGTACGTTCACTCCAACAGTCCCCTCTGTCTCCACGCTCATCGATTCTTGTTCATTGTGTCTAGCCGTGGGTGTTGCCGAACACATACAGATCCATATAACCCTTTTCTCCTTGCCTCTATCAAACCATGTCTCTCCACTGATGAATCCTTATCCTTGTGGCTGTTATTGTACAGGGCACGCCACTGGGACTATATGAAGCCGATTCTTAGTTACCACAATTTGTGTAAAATACTAATACTTCCAGTCATTATCAAGTCTGTAACTTGTTTTACATTGAATAAAGTCTTAGTTGCGGCTAACACCCCCACAATCTGGAGTGACTATTGTAGCCTCCACCCTTGATGCAAGCTCACTTGCCTCAAAACTTGTCATGGCAAAGTCTATGTCTTCAGGTACTTCCCAGGTGCCCAAAAAGAAATCAATGTCCGCCTGTATGCAATTCTCATAGCCCTCTCCCATCTCCTCGGGGTACAATGATCCAACCAGGACGTACACTAACCATGGTAAGTTTACGCGGGCCCTTTCATCGTCACCTAGCAGGTCGGAGTAGCGAACGTAGCACCTGAATCTGTGGTTCTTGGCAAGCATTGGGCGACCCTTGTTGGATGTATGGGTGTTTTTCCCGCAGCAGATGCGTAGAACAGCTTCCACCGTTCGGGAGTTGTCGACCATGTCCCCTTGGCTCTCTTGGGCCAGCTCTAACTCCTCTATAGCCCACTTCTCGAGGACACAACTCTGCTTGGGATTGGCCCGCGCAAATTCTTCTAGGGACCAGGTTTCGCTCGCATCCAGTAAAACAGGGGGTTTGCCCGTGGGCTTTCGGGAGCGTCGCATTAGAGGCCTGTTACGGGCTAGCTGGAGGTTTGCTAGCCTTCTCCCTCTCCTCATTCCACCACCCACTAATGGGCGATTCATCCTTGACTTTCTGTGGTCTTCGCTGTCCGGATCACTCTCCAATTCATCGGTGAGCCGTGTGCCCAGAGTCAATCCCCTGTGTCGTGTGCTCCGACCCCTGTTCATCCTGGATGAGCCACAGTGGGTGGGTATGCAAATGGAGACCTCGGGACAGGACAGGGTGGAAATGAATTCGAACATTTCATGCTGAGCCGTGGATGCACCGGAGCTGTGAAACAGTGGGGGAAGGGGAGTGAGCAGTGGGGGAAGGGGTGTGAACAGTGGGAGAAGGGGAGTGAAACAGCGGGGGAAGTGGAGTGCAACAGTGGGGGAAGTGGAGTGGAAGCGTGGTGGAAGGGGAGTTGAGCCGAGGGGGATGGGGTGTGTAATGGTGGGGGATGGGGAGTGGAACGGTGGAGAATGGGGAGTGGAAGTGTGGGGGAAGGGATGTTCTGGCGTGGGGTAAGGGGAGTGGCAGCGTGGGGGAAGAGGCGTGGAAGCGTGGGGGAAGGGGAGTAGAGCCGTGGGGGTAGGGGAGTCTAACAGTGGGGGAAGGGGTGGGTAACAGTGGGGGAAGGGGTGTGAAACAATGAGGGAAGGGGAGTGAAGCAGGGGGGGAAGGGGAGTGGAACAGTGGGGGAAGGGGAGTGAAACGGTGGGGGAAGGGTTGTGAAACAGTGGGGTAAGGGGCGTGATACAGTGGGGTAAGGGGAGTGGCAGCGTGGGGGAAGAGGAGTGGAAGCGTGGGGGAAGGGGAGTAGAGCCGTGGGGGTAGGGGAGTCTAACAGTGGGGGAAGGGTTGGGTAACAGTGGGGGAAGGGGTGTGAAACAGTGAGGGAAGGGGAGTGAAGCAGTGGGGGAAGGGGAGTGAAGCAGTGGGGGGGGGGGGAGTGAAACGGTGGGGGAAGGGGAGTGAAACAGCGGGGTAAGGGGCGTGATACAGGGGGGTAAGGGGAGTGGCAGCGTGGGGGAAGAGGAGTGGAAGCGTGGGGGAAGGGGAGTAGAGCCGTGGGGGTAGGGGAGTCTAACAGTGGGGGAAGGGTTGGGTAACAGTGGGGGAAGGGGTGTGAAACAGTGAGGGAAGGGGAGTGAAGCAGTGGGGGAAGGGGAGTGAAGCAGTGGGGGGGGGGGGAGTGAAACGGTGGGGGAAGGGGAGTGAAACTGCGGGGTAAGGGGCGTGATACAGTGGGGTAAGGGGAGTGGCAGCGTGGGGGAAGAGGAGTGGAAGCGTGGGGGAAGGGGAATAGAGCCGTGGGGGTAGGGGAGTCTAACAGTGGGGGAAGGGTTGGGTAACAGTGGGGGAAGGGGTGTGAAACAGTGAGGGAAGGGGAGTGAAGCAATGGGGGAAGGGGAGTGAATCAGTGGAATTTGCCGATTTCGAAGTGTGGGGGAAGGGGAGTGGAAGCGTGGAGGAAGGGGTAGTGGTTCCGAATGGGGAAGGGGGGTGGAAGCGTGGGGGAAGGGAAGTGGAAGCGTGAGGGAACCGGAGTAAGGAGTGAGATCAGAGGGGATGGGAGATGCGCAATGAGATGGGGGGAGAGGACCGAATGGGGAAGGGGAGCGGAAGCGTGGGGGAAGGGAAGTGGAATCGTGGGGGAAGGGAAGTGGAAGCGTGGGGGAAGGGAAGTGGAAGCGTGGTGGAAGGGAAGTGGAATCGTGGGGGAAGGGAAGTGGAATCGTGGGGGAAGGGAAGTGGAAGCGTTGGGCGGAAGGGAAGTGGAAGCGTGGGGGAAGGGAAGTGGAAGCGTGGGGGAAGGGAAGTGGAAGCGTGGGGGAAGGGAAGTGGAAGCGTGGTGGAAGGGAAGTGGAATCGTGGGGGAAGGGAAGTGGAATCGTGGGGGAAGGGAAGTGGAAGCGTTGGGCGGAAGGGAAGTGGAAGCGTGGTGGAAGGGGACTGGAAGATTGCGGGAAGGGGAGTGGCAGCGTGGGGGAAGGGGAGTGGCAGCGTGGGGGAAGGGGAGTGGCAGCGTGGGGGAAGGGGAGTGTAACGGTGGGGGGTGGGGAGTGGCACAGTGGGGGATGGGGAGTGGAACAGTGGGGGATGGGGAGTGGAACCCGTGGGAAGCATGGTAAAACCGAGAGGGAAAGGGTGTGTAACAGCGGGGGATGGGGAGTCTACAGTGGGGGATGGGGGGTGGAAGCGTGGGGGAAGGGGAGTAGTTAGGAGGGGGAAGGGGTGTGTAACGGTGGGGGATGGGGAGTGGAACATTGGAAGATGGGGTGTGGAAGTGTGGGGGAAGGGAAGTTTTGGCGTGGGGGAAGGGGAGGGGAAGCGTGGGGGAAGGGGAGGGGAAGCGTGGGGGAAGGGAGGGGGAAGCGTGGATGTAGGGGTGTGGATGTTTGGGTGCAGGGGAGCATGGGTGCATGGGTAGTGAAACAGTGGGGGATGGGGCGTGAAACAGTGGGGGATGGGGAGTGAAACAGTGGGGGAAGGGGAGTGAAACAGAGGGGGATGGGTAGTGAAACAGTGGGGGTTGGGGCGTGAAACAGTGGGGGATGGGGAGTGAAACAGTGGGGTAAGGGGAGTGGAAGGGTCAAGGAAGGGGGAATGGAAGGGTGGGGGAAGGGGAGTGAAGCGCGGGGGAAGGGGAGTGGTAGCGGAGAGGAGGGGGAGTGGGAGCGTGGGCAGGGCACAGGGGAGCGTTAGAGCGGGGGAGCAGCGGGGCATGGGAGCAAGCGTGGTGCACAACGGGGGAGCAGCGGGGCGTGGGAGGTGAGGGGCTAAGATTCACAGGGGTTACCTCCCTGTCCGTCTCCAAGGGACAGGCTCCCTTGGGGGTGACCACAGTCTCACTTATAACACGTAATCGGACATTGAAGTGCGAGGACTCTCCCATTTCGATCACAGGCACATGCGATCGTGCGCAGATGGCAAACTGTTCGTTAGCGGTACGACCGTCAGTGGCAACGAGGTTGATACATGCCCGTTGGCGATTCATGTGGTGATGAAAGCAGTGTGGAGCGGGTTGATCGAGGCCTGGATGAGACGGGGGGAGCAGTGTACGCATTCCGCTGAGTCCTTGGAGTGCGATTGGTGTGCGCCGCGTGGTGCAATTTCGCCCCGTAATGGCAGTTAGGAATGCGCTTCCCTAATTGCGCAGCCTGCTGTGTGACGCCACTGTGCGGGCGAGTTAGCGTCACTACCTCGTCACATGTTGCGTACGCGGATTGTGATAGATCACGCTGTGTTCCCCTATGAACACTACTTCCCATCCCTAATCGCGTTGCGCGTGTTCCTGTAAGCCGTGGCGACTGTCGTATGTGATTTCGTAAGCCCGGCTCACTCCGCATCTGATGGCGTCTTGTCACACGAACATTTGTGCTGCATCGCTCCTTGCTGCTTGAAGCCATCGGTGGCTGACCTAAACCCATTACTATTTGTGAAGAGCGTATGTTGTCCTTGGTGTCACCACTTACCTCGATCAGTACTCGAGCCTGTTCGTCGTCGCCTTACCACCACCACACGGTCTCCCCGGCGTATGTACTGATTAGGTCCACTGCTGGTGGGTGAGTGTGTTGTCTCAGATGCATCGCTCGTAATTGTGCAAAACAGTTGACCCTTGGGCTGGTTTAGGCGTGCGACAACAAATCCGTCGTCACAAATTGACGTGTTGGTTTGTGTTGCGAAATGAATGTTCGGTGGCGAGACTCGTTTGCACTTCAGTTTGGTTTCAGATTCGTCAGCCAATCAGAACACCCCTGTTTCCGTCGACTGCAAAGCACTTGAACTACTTGAGACCCTGGCTTTAAGGCTGTTGGCGTCTTTAGCCATATTCTCTGTTATTCTGTGACTTTGTCTGTAATGATTACGATCATAATATATTCCTATTAGGTTTGGAAGCGAGTCATTTTTCTACGAGCCTTGACGTCATCACCATCACCACCATCGCCGCGCAACAGCCGACATTCCCCGCAGGAGGGTTCACGGAGCGGTACACCTCTGCTTCACAGTTCCTTCCGTTCTTCAAGTCACTAGTTTCATTCTGGCCGCCCCTCCTTTGATTATACAGGAGCAATCAGATCACACCACTGCCTGGGTACGCTGGTGACTTTTTACCTGTACCTATTCTCAGGTTTCACCTGCGAGGGGTCCTCCTATCGCTCCGCACTTTCCCCTCCCGCACATCCCACCATCATGGCATCCGCGCCCTCACCTCCCCCCGCCGACAAAGCCACGCCCCCATCGCCCGCTGCGCCCTCCTCCGCGGAGCTTCCGCCCATCTCTTCCCCCTTGAGCACCGCATCCCCCGCGACCAGCGCAGCCCCGCAAGCGGACGGCCAGGCGCCGCGGCAAGAGCTTCACGGCGGGAAGGCACCTGCCGCAGTGGCGGCGGCGGGGAGGGGGGAGGTGGCGTGCGGGAAGGAGGCGGTGGATCTGCTGAACTGCGTGGCGGATGCGCGCACAGACCTCTCCAAGTGCACCGCGCTCATGGGCGCCCTCCGCCGCTGCGCCGCCCGCGAGGTGCGCGGAAGTGAGGGGCGTGAGTGTGGAGGGCGTGGGAGATGAGTGAGGGAGGGAGGGGGGGAGGGGGGGAGGGAGGGAGGGAGGGAGGGAGGGAGGGAGGGAGGGAGGGAGGGAGGGAGGGAGGGAGGGAGGGAGGGAGGGGGGGGGGGGGGAGGGAGGGGGGGGGGGGGGGGGGGGAGGGAGGGAGGGAGGGAGGGAGGGAGGGAGGGAGGGAGGGAGGGAGGGAGGGAGGGAGGGAGGGAGGGAGGGAGGGAGGGAGGGAGGGAGGGAGGGAGGGAGGGAGGGAGGGAGGGAGGGAGGGAGGGAGGGAGGGAGGGAGGGAGGGAGGGAGGGAGGGAGGGAGGGAGGGAGGGAGGGAGGGAGGGAGGGAGGGAGGGAGGGAGGGAGGGAGGGAGGGAGGGAGGGAGGGAGGGAGGGAGGAGGGAGGGAGGGAGGGAGGGAGGGAGGGAGGGAGGGAGGGAGGGAGGGAGGGAGGGAGGGAGTCAGGCTGTGAATCAAAGCCTTATTCACTTGCCTTGAGATGCAACTTCTGCTCATCTCCTGCTGATTTGCTGCGCCCGTCAACGCGTTAACCATCAAGTTTCCTAGTACGTCTTTCAGATCCTTCTTCTTGCCTTCTCATGCTTTTCCTGTTTGTTTCGTTTTGGGTATGTTCATTTTTTGTTTTTCTGTGATGTGTACACGCACGTGTGGTGGCCCCGAGACTGATGTTTGTGTGAACTTGTGTGTGTATGCTCTTGTCTGTGAAGGTCTGTCTGTGTGTGGGTTTGTGCGTGTGCGTGTGCGTGTGTGTGTGCGTGCGGTGCGTGTGTGCGCGTGAGTGTGCGCACGCGCGTGCCTGTCTGTGAAGGCCTGTGCCTGTGTGTGCCTGTCTGTGCCCACCTGTATCTACCTGCCTGTGCCTGTCTCTACCTACCTGTGCCTGTCTGTGCCTGTTTGTGCCTGTCTGTGCCTGTTTGTGCCTGTCTGTGCCTGTTTGTGTCTGTCTGTGCCTGTCTGTGCTTGTCTGTGCCTGTCTGTTCCTGTCTGTGCCTGTCTGTGTGTGTCCCCGGTCCTGGGTGAGCATGTGCGTGTGTGTTTGCGTGTGTGTATGTGTATGGCAGAATGTCAAGAGCTTTTCCCTTCCGACAACATAACACCCCCACAGGGTATACTGAAGTTAATATACATGTACCATACTGTACTGTGGTCTCTGTTGTCTGAGGGTACATTCCTGTGTCGACACAAATGTCTCAATCCCCTTTTTCCCGAGTCGCGTCGAAAGATTTTGTCAACCTCGCGTCACAAAAAATGAATGTATCTCGACACTAGTCGACCAGGCGAAATGCACAGCTCTGCGCATTTGATTGGGTGACACAAATGACTGTACACCCGCTTGGCTGGGGTGTGGTTTCGACGCGCGGGATTTTCTCCCGCGCGAAATTGGCATTGCAGGCTGTCCAGGTGCATTGACATTTCGAACCGCGTGTGATTTTTTAACAATGACGGGTCGGTTTGCAATTCGTCAGCGACATCAGCGCGTTTCACGCTGACCAATGAAAAATACAGAAATGGTCGCTGAAAGACGACTCGCATTTGGGACACACTACATTTTAGGTTGTTTTTGGGTGTCGCAAAGCGATTGAGACACTTGTGTGTCAAGAATCATATTTCTATATAACTGCCCTTTGCATTAACATAGTGTAGTGTAGCCTAATGTTTGTGGTGCACCCCTTGCATGCTTGCCTTGCTTGTATAACTCTCGACTGTTTCTAATGCAACCTCCTCTTTTGGCCAACACCTTCCTCTCGCTACTCTCATGCTAGCTAAACCCTAGGCTCCTAAGCTTACTAAGTTAAGCATGTACTTTGACATGCTAACAGAGTAGGTCCCGATCTAGGACCTATTTTCTTTTCAATGGGCCCACCTGTCACTGTCGCAATGGCGCGCCCCGTTCCCGAACTCGTCAAGGCGCTCAGCCTGACGGTCGCGACGGCCGCGAAGGCGAGCCCCGTGAGGCGCTCCGCTTCCCGTCGCCCCTCTACCCTGCCTCCCGTCGTCGCGGGCGCCCCGCTTCCCGTTGTCGCGGGTGCCCTGCTTCCCGTCGCCGCTGGCGCCCTGCTTCGCGACGCCGCGGCTTCCGCTGTGGGAGGAGGTGGCGGGGGTGGGGGGGCGTGGGTGGTTGACGCCACTCCGCGCGCTGCTGCGCCACACCGCTACGCCGCCGCTCGCCTTCCCCTCTCTCTCCCTGTTGCGCGTGCAGCAGTGGAGGGAGGGTGAAGGGGTGGCGGGTGTGAGCAACCTGCTGCCGCCCCTCCTCCTCCTCTCTCTCACTGCCGCACGTGCCGCTGTGGGGGGAGGGTGAGGGGGTGGCGGAAGGGGTGCGGTTCCGGGTGGCGGCTGAACAAGGGGGGTGAGGTTTAGGGGGGTGGCTGAAAGGGAGTGTGGAATTGGGGGTTCGTAAGAGGGGTTCGCCGCGACTGGCTCCCCCCCACCTCCTCTTCTCATCCCTCTCTCACCCCCCCCCTTTGTAAAAAGGGGGTTCGTAAGAGGGGCTCGCCGCGACTGGCTCCCCCCCACCTCCTCTCCTCATCTCTCTCTCTCACCTCCTCCTTGGTACTTCTCTCCTCTCCTCATCTCCCTCTCTGTTGTCTTCCGCTGCACTCTGTTTGGTGTACCCCTTCAGGGGGCGTAAACTTCACATTGTCATTGCTGCTGGCAGTTATGGGGGCGTTGTCAGAATGAACTGTGCAGCTAGAAACAGGGCAGTGCAGGTTTGTATAGGCTAACCCTAATTAGGGTTGTACCCCGTACTGAGTAACCCACTATAGCCTAGCAAGTAGAATGCATTTTGACACACCCCCATAGGCTCAGTGGGGGACAATCAGATGGTCACAAGACCAGTCAAGCAAGAGAACAAGCAAAGCAAAGCTCAGGGTGGATCTCAAGGACACCACACAATCTGAGCACAGGCAAGCGGCCACAAGGCCAGTTCACATGCAGAGTTATAATAACAAGGCAGTACACTGATTACAACCTAGCAAGAGTAAACATGCAGGTATAAAGATATATATCAGTGTACAACAAGTGCAAGTCAAGCAACCAGCAGGTGAGGCAGAGTGGGCACAAGCCCAAGAGCAGTGCAGAAACGCTGATGATCACCAGACCCAAGGGCCTTGGTGAACACATCAGCAGTGTTGGCCCGCGAGGCCACGTAGGAAAGGCGGAGCTGACGACGCTGCTGCAGCTCACGTGCAAGGAAGTAGCGAAGAGCAATGTTCTTCGTTCTGTGCTCCAGTCTCTGCTCGCGACACAAGGCAAGCATTGCCTTGTTGTCGACGTACAGAGTTGGAGGAGAACGAGGCCGCTCCCCCAAGTCGGTCAGCAGGTAGGTCAGCCAGCGTAGCTCCCGTGCAGCCATGGCCCCAGCGTAGATCTCGGCCTCACAGCTGGAACCAAGCACCGAAAACGAGCGAGTGGACCTCCACGAGACGGAACCAGAGCCAAGACTGAAGGTGTACCCCTGTGACGAATGCTGAGTCGCCTGATCGTCGGCCCAAGAAGCGTCGGAGTGTCCTGTGAGTACCACTGAACCCTGTCCTCCAAGCACGAGCCCCATGCCCGATGTACTGCACGAGTAACGCAGTACCCTCTTCGCACATCCCAGTGCACCTTTCGGTGTCTACCGGGAGCCACGTAGCGAGCCAGAAGGCTGAGAGGGTACGCGAGGTCAGGTCGTGTGCACGTCATCAGGTACATGAGGCAACCCACAAGCTCTGGGTACGGACCACTCGGCTCTACGGACTCGTCCGAAGGTGGAGCTGAGAGCGAGTGGCCTATAGACAGAGGAGTGGGCTGTGGTGAGGAGAAGGTGAAGCCGAAGGGCTGAAGGACCTGCTGCACCATGCGTGACTGAGTCAACGTGATGGTGCGCCTTGCTCTGCAAGCCAAGATAGCTCCGCAGTTCACCCAGGTCAGTGCAAGTGTGTCTCTTCTGCAGCTCGGACTTCACACGGGCCAATTCCTCAGTGTCAGCAGTAGCAAAGACCAAGTCGTCGACGTACACGAGGATGTAGAACGCCAGAAGAGTAGTGTCAGTGCGTAGAAACAGTGACGGGTCAGCTGTCGAGGGAGCGAAACCAAGAGCCGCAAGTGTCGTCCTCAGTGTGTCGTGCCACTCACGGGGTGCCTGACGCAGGCCGTACACTGGTCGCCGTAGGCTCCACTGGGTACCCTCAGGAAACGACCCAGTGAAGCCCTCTGGACGACGCAGCCAGATGGCCTCGTGAAGGCTACCCTGCAAGAAAGCTGTCGAGAAGTCGAGGGAGTGCAGCTCGTAGTCGCGCTGTGCTGCAACGTGTAGCAACACTCGAAGAGTGGTCATCTTCGGGGTGGGGGAGAAGGGCTGAAAGAAGTCGACCCCCTCACGCTGACTGAAGCCTCGAGCAACGTATCGTGCCTTGAAGGTAGGCGGAGAACCTGGCAGCCGCTTCACCTTGAAAATCCACATGCCACTGACGATGTTCGCCCCCGGAGGGGGAACCTTGTCGACGTAGGTGCCTGTGGACTTCCAGGAAGCCATCTCTGCGTCCATGGCTGTCTGCCACTGAGAGGAGTACTCACCCGAGATCGCCTCTCTGTAAGAGCGCAGGGTGGGGATGTCAAGTGCATCCGGGTCTCCCTCAGGGGCAAGCAGCATGGTAGCGAGATGAGGTACAGCGGCCGCAATGCACTCCAGCTCCTCCTGCCTGTCCTCAAGAACGTCACAGCCAAGTGCAACCTCACCCCCAACGGACGGAGGACAGGCAGGGTCAGGGTAAAAAACGAGACTCGCAAGGTAGTCTAGGCGGTACGCAGCAGCAAAGTCAACTAGCTCATCGACTAAGGCAGGCGCAGCAGGAGACGAGAACGTAGGGTCCGTCACAACCGTAGCAAGAAAGCGAGTAACAGTCGGACTGGACGCACGAGCAAGGTCTGACGGAGGGTCAGCAACAGCAGGAAGAGAAGACGTAGGAGGTGACGGCAGGACAACACGTTGTGGAACAGAGGAAGGACGGAGTGTCATATCGTGAGTGCCTGGGACAGCCGGAGCACGAGAACGACGAACACGAGGAACACGAGCACGGACAGAAGCTCTAGCCTCAGGCTCTCGACGCTCAGGAGTGGACGCACGAGTCTCAGGCTCTCGACGCTCAGGAGTGGAAGCACGAGTCTCAGGCTCTCGACGCTCAGTCAGGGACTCTGTCACAGCAGTGTAAGGAGCAGGAGTAGGCAGTGGGGAGTGAGGGAGTAGCTGCGGCTGAGACAAGTCTGCTGGTAGGAACAGTAAAGGCGGAGTAGTACCTGCGACAGGGAACTCCGTAGGAGCTGGGGGAAGACCGAGAAGGTGGCGAAGCGCACCAGCAGGTCCAGCACCTCTAGCACCAGCAGCAACTCCAACACCTCCAGCACCAGCTGCACCTCCAGCACTAGCAGCTCCAGCACCTCTAGCAGTACCTCCAGTACCTCCAGCACCAGCAGCACCAGTACCTCCAGTACCAGCAGTACCTCCAGCACTA